TCATCTTCACCATAGCCGTTTTGGCTCGAGCAATTGCTCGGATAATCGGCCCTCGGGATCGAACTTGCCAGGCGATATGGTTGGCGTGGAAGCCTGGTACCCAGGAAACGCAGCGGACGCGCTCCACGAAATCCTGAAGGATGGGTTCCACGGCCATCTCATTCATGGAGGCTGGAATTACCCGAGCGTGGACATGAAGAAACGCATAGACATCGAGGCGATGTCTAAATTCAAGGAAGAGCTGCACAGCATGATTCGGTTGGATCCACGTGGTGGTAACTTTCTTCAGAAAGACTTCGAGGTAGTAGTAAAACGGCTGGCCGCGAGTTCGGACAACGTCGAGGTTTTCAAGGGCTCCATGCAGACGAAGAACTACGAGAGCACTGATCACACTGTGACTAACATCACCTACCAGTACCGCGTCGTGTTGTCGCACATCAGGGAGAAGTACGAGGGCTGGAGCAAGCTTGAGGAGAGCAAGAAGATTACAGCGCCATCGCATCCAGGTTGGCTCCAGAGCATCTACCAGAGCATCGGGGGCGTGGAGTACGATGCGCCGTCGTCTGGCCATTGCTGGCATTGGCACTGCATGGCATTATATTTCCTTGCTCGGAATTGCATAAATTTGAATTGATTTGCGTTGATTGGCGTTGCTTTGTACTGCTTGGCATTATTTGGCTGGGCTTGGCATCGCTTGACATTTCCTGGCATTGGTTGGCATTGCCTGCATTGCTTGGCTTTGATGTGTGTTGTTTGGCGCTGCTTTGCGTTGTATGGTGTTTCTTCGAACTGCATTGCATTACGTTGCGTGGCTTGGCATCGCTTGGCTTTGCTTTGCGTTGCCTTGCTTTGCGTGGCACTGCTGCGCATTGCTTTGTATTGCTTGGCATTTCTATACGTTGTTTGGTATTGCTTGGCCTTGGTTCAAAAGCACTGCAGTAATCAGATTAGGAACAATTGGACAAGCGGACAAGACAAGCGGCCTGCAATCGAGGTGCTGCGGGGGCACTGCAGGTGGGCGCTGGGGATTCGCCAATGGTGAAACAATGTCGCAAGAGTGCTCTATGTGTGGAGTTGTACAAAGTGCTGAGGAAGAGGAGGTACAAGAGGAAGAACATTTAAGCCGCGCTAACCTGTCTACTCATTGCTCTGCGACCAGACTAGCAAAACCGGGGAACCCGAGGAATGCCGGCCCTCCAAAGCAGTAAGGGAACAAGACCGAAGCGACCTGGGGAAGCAAGGACCCCCGAGGAGCGCGAGGGAGGCAGACTGACTCTTCAGCAACGTGAGGAGAGACAATGCCAAAGGGGCCTGGGGAACCTTGATGAACCCTGGGAACCCCGAGGAACGCCAACGTGAAGAAAGGAAAGGGGGACCCGCCTTGCCGACTGCACGCGCGAGTGACCCTGGGTAAGCGGGACCCTTTGGCACGCGGCTCTTCGGGAGGCCGGCGGCGGGACCAGACACAAGCGCGCAGGACGCTACTGTCGCATCGCGCTCGGCGATCGGGGGACCCCACTGGGCCTCGACCAGGGGCCACCCCGGCGAAAGGTCACTCTTACGTCTGGTGGACCTTGCTAGGAGGCACAGCCAAGGAACCCTGGGAACCCCTGGCGCGACTGGGCACCGCAGCCACCAGTGTCTTCCAGAGCAGTGAAATTTCCTACTGCAAAGCCCAATTGGGGAACCTATCTGGAGAAGAACGGGAAGCGTCGATTCTCTGAGTTTGCGTGCGCGCCCGCAAGGATTTGCACGCAACGCGACGGTACGCATGGGGTACCCCCATTTCAACAGCTACCAGCAGATACAACACGCCAAGGTAGCAAACGCGCAACCGCACTCAGCAGCATTCGTGACCACAATGCAAACTCACTCAGCTGTACGCGTGCCCAGATTTCAATTGCCACGGGCAGCAAACGAACCAATGTTTGATGGCAGAAGGGGCTGCAGCAAACGTACCCACATTTCAACGGGTACCAGCAGGTACGCCACTCCATGGTAGCAAACGCGCTCAGCAGCAAACGTGCACACATTTCGATTGCCACGGGCAGCACACGAACCATAGTTTAACAGCAGAAGGGCCGCAGCGAACGTACCCACATTCCAACAGCCAGCAGCTACACCACACCATGGTAGCAAACGCAATCAGCAGCATTCGTGCCCGCAGTGCAACTGCCACGGGCAGCACACGAACCATAGTTTAACAGCAGAAGGGCCACAGCGAACGTACCCACATTTCAACAGCTACCAGCGGCTACACCACACCATGGTAGCAAACGCGCTCAGCAGCAATCGTGCCCACATTGCTATTGCCACGGGCAGCACACGAACCATATTTCAACAGCAGAAGGGGCCGCAGCGAACGTACCCACATTCCGACAGCTACCAGCAGCTACACCACACCATGGTAGCAAACTCACTCAGCTGTACGCGTGCCCAGATTTCAATTGCCACGGGCAGCAAACGAACCAATGTTTGATGGCAGAAGGGGCTGCAGCAAACGTACCCACATTTCAACGGGTACCAGCAGGTACGCCACTCCATGGTAGCAAACGCGCTCAGCAGCAAACGTGCACACATTTCGATTGCCACGGGCAGACAACGAACCATATTTTAACAGCAGAAGTGCCGCAGCGAACGTACCCACATTCCAACAGCCAGCAGCTACACCACACCATGGTAGCAAACGCAATCAGCAGCATTCGTGCCCACAGTGCAACTGCAACGGGCAGCACACTCCGACAGCTACCAGCAGCTACACCACACCATGGTAGCAAACGCACTCAGCAGCAAACGTGCCCACATTTCAAGTACCACGGGCAGAAAACATCTCTTTTGTTCGAAGATGTCTCATGCTAAACGCATTTTAAAGAATGGAATCCGCTGACCGATGGGCCTTTTTGAACCCCGAGCCCGTTGCCCCTCGTGTGATAATTCTGCATGTGTTCCTTACAAAGCTTCTGTTAACAAATTACCGTCAGCTTCTCGTTCCGAAAAGGCGTTACCTATCATCCGCCGACCCTGTCGGCGTGTGTGGTACGTTTTTCCGTTTGGGTTATCGTCATCGCCGTCGCCACCCCCCATTTCCTTGGGCCCTCCGCCTCCTCGAGCGATCCAGCCAAACGGAAATCAAACAATCGCAATTGATTCGAAGGGAAGCCCTTCCCTTTGATCCCTTACCTGCCTGAGGGGTGGTCATCGGGGCCCAAATCATCCGATACCGGCTACTTTCGGTAGCGGTCTAGGCGCTTCTCGATTTTCGGTCGCGACCGGATGCCATATTTTTCCGTCGCGTCGGACAGGTGCGAATAGGTGCAAATTGGAGAGGGTGTAATTTGGTAGCGGGGAAACGAAGTCCGGCAGCGAATCCGACGCGAAAGTTGTAGCGGGATAGCGAAATTCGGTAGCAGGAAAAGAAACTCAGTACCAGGAAACGGTATTCGGAAGCGGGAAAACGTTAATCAGTGCGCGAAGGTTATCATCATCATCATCATCATCATCATCATCATCATCATCATCATCATCATCATCATCATCATCATCATCATCATCATCATCCTCATCCTCATCCTCATCCTCATCCTCATCCTCATCATCATCATCATCATCATCATCATCATCATCAACACCATCATAATCTCCAAGGGGTGTGCAAGAGAAGCTCCAAGAGGGCTCAGGTAAGCCCCACAATGTGGCACCCAAGAGGGCCCCAAGAGGGCATTAAGGAGCCCCAAGATAATCCCAAACGTGCCCCAAGAGGGCCCAAGAGGACCCCAAGTGAGCGCCAAGAGGGTCCCAAAGAGGTGCACCGATACGGCCGCAAGAGGTGGTCTAAAAGGGTCCAGAGAATATACAAGATCTGCCCCAACGTAAAGGTTCCCAAGGGAGCTCCATGAAATACCAGAGACGGCGGCGACGACGACGACGGCGGCGCCGACGACGACGACGGCGGCGACAACGGCAGAATGCTCCAAAGATGGCTCAATGGGCGTGGGCGCGTCTTTTTTATTGCCAAAAGCAGAAAAGGAATCACACTCTCATGCCTGGCTAGGCGTAAACCTAACCGCAGAAGGCAGAGGAAGAGGAGGAGGAGTGCAGCGGGCGCACAGCGTAACGCTGCACAGGACGATATCGGGAGGTCGCTGACGACACACATGGTCACCTCGCGATGCCACCGACTGAAAACATTGATGTCCCATGGCACACACGCCACACAAGACTCCAATACTACACCTATATGATAAGGCGAAGTTACGCCTCTGCGACCTGGCGTACAGGATCTCTCTGAAAAGTCCTGGGGACACAATATTTCGTGCCAGGACTAGTTGTTGTTGGGGGGTGGGGGTTGAGCTTCACGCCCACGCCTCCTGATGCCTGCCTGGACAGGCTGACACTGATGCAACGCAATGAGGTGCAATAGCACATAGCGTGCACTGAGTACAAAACCTTCAGCAGGGCATGGTACAGCTGCAGGGCCAAGAGCGACACAAGAGGAAACTCCAAGCTGGACGCAGACTGTCGAGACGGAGAAAGTCGGGCAAACGCTGGAGCCGAGGGTGTAGCAAGGCGCTCCACGAGAGCTGCGCCAGGGGGGCCAGGCTATACCTGGACGTAGGCCAACGACATGGTGAATCAGAGTCTTCACTATGACTGCGCTCGCCAATAGGAGGCATAAGCGGACCTTCGTCCTCCCCTTCACGAAGCGAGGCGACGACATGCGACAGCTGTTGACCCTTCGACTGCACTGGCACTGCTGGACCAGCACTCAACAGAGCCCCCTTGCTTCTGCCGACTGTAGTGAGGATGCTTGCCTTTGCACAGAGCTTCCAAAGCGTAATGGACAGCTCTGGTCGGGGGAGCCACCCACCTTAGCCGCCAGGCCCCGAATTCGAGCCCCGACGCATGATATTTACAACGGGCACAGATAAACAGCACAGAATTGTCAGAACGTGCACACACACACATATTTTCGAACATTTGCTATCATATAAGCTGCGAGCATGTGCACAGACTCTTCTCACTCCTTCAGGCTGCCTGACTGCGGCCCTCAAGACGCGTCTCCCAAAAAGCAAGACGCTCTGTCAGAGAACGACCTTCAGACTGCTCAGTGGGCGTGGGCGCACCCGTTTTGTATGGCCTGTCGCACAGGCAGAAAAGAAGTCGAGCTTCCATGCCTCGGCGGGTGTGAACCCAACCTCAGTCAGGGAGACGGAGGAGAGAACGGAGGGGGGGAAGTGGAGGAGGAGGAGGAGGAGGAAGGGGAGGAGGAGGAGGAGAAGGGGGAGGAGGAGGAGGAGGAGGAGGAGGAGGAGGAAGAGGAGGAGGAGGAGGAGGAAGAGGAGGAGGAGGAGGACGAGTGGAGGAGAAGGCGGAAGAGGAGGACGAGAAGGTAGCTGGTGCACACCATGAAAGGACTGGTGCACACCATGAAAAGACTGTTTAAACAAGCGCACGATATCCCACTGGCATGCATGCTCTGCCATTGTGTTAATGAACTCTGAACCGCCTCGCTGCAAACTGTGCAATTACGGAAAAATACAAATTCGCTTACGGGACTCTGTCATGGGGCAATGCCCTCGCTTACAAAGTCGTTCCGAGATCTTTCGTGTCGCTTACGGGTCTTCCAGAACCTTGATTCCCCAGAACTCGAAAATATGTTTCCGCTGCTCTCGCCCCTCCTCGTCTTCCCCTCCTCGTCCCTCTCCCCCCCTCCTCGTCTTCCTCCTCCCCCTTCGCACCTCCTCCTCCTCCTCCACCTCCTCCTCCTCGCCCCTCCTGCTCCCTAGCGTCCTCCGCCACCTGCTCCTCAACATCCTCGTCGTCCTCGTCGTCGGCGTCTTCAGGGTCGGCGACACCGGCCATAAAGCCTTCGCAATATTTTCTCGCTGCTGCGTCCACTTCATATCGAGGCTGCCCTTGCCCTGCGCCAGACCTCGGGGGCCCCAGGGCAGGCGGCGCCACCGCCACGCGCTACGAGCAACCGATCCGGACAGAGGCCCGACCAGGGCCCAGACTGGGGTCTCCTCCATGGGACGCACAGAGACATACTAATACTATACGTCCTCCTTGGAGGCGCGCGTCCGACCCGAACATATAATGTACCCATCTTGTAGCATATCGTTTCCCGAGCGGAGTGGCCAGAAAGCGCCCGCGACGACGCATATACTATAAGATTTCTCGGTGCGCGCGTCGCCCCTGGGGGGGCGACGCACATACAATATGAGTATGTTGGGGTGACGCCGACTCCAGGGCCCAGACTGGGCTCTTCTGCAGTGGATCTTACGGGCAATCACCGTTCTCACGTACGGGCTCGCGCCGGAATCACCTCCACGCGAACGGAACCTCAGCGGTTTTGAATTCGCTGGTCCAACGGACCAATGAGGCGCCAAAAAGGGTGGCACGCCCCACGGCCTCAGGCCAAGAGCGTTCCAAGATGGCCCACGTAGGTCCCAAGACGGCCTAAGAAGCGCACAAGACGCTCCAGAACGGTTTCAAGAGGACTTCGCGAGGCCCCGAAGAATTGATTGTGTTTGGGTTGTCGGACGATGTTGGCGGCGCCGTCTTTTCGAACTGCCGACGGCCCTGGACGGCCCAAGAGGCCCCAAGATCGCTCCCAAACAGCACGAAAAGCTTCCAAGAGGGCCCCCAAATTGCCAAAGATGGCCCTAAGACGGCCCAAGAGGCCTCCAAGACGGCCCCATGAGGGCCCCAAGAGGGGGCCCAGAGGGCAAACCCGAACAGAAGTTTCGAGCTCTCGGCCCCAAGAGGCGCCCAGGAAGCCCCCAGAGGCTCCCAGGAGCCCTCTTGAGCCATCTTGTGCCCGTTGATGCCAAAGTAGCATCACAATATCCACACGATACGCTACATTGCATGATCGTGGGAGGCTGCTGACGACGTCCTGGTTGCACCTACGTCACACAGGGTCGCATCGCGATGCCAGCGACTGAAGAATGAAACGGCAGTCCGATGGCATACACGCCACACAAGATGCCACCTCTGAGCATGAGAAGAGGCTAGGATACGAACAACACTTGGTGCAAATAACTTCCGAGCATCTGAGATCTGGTCTCCCAGAACTCTCTGAGAAACTCCGGGAACTACCTACATCTTCGCATCCTGGCCAGAGAAAACAACGACAAGCAAGCACGAAGCAAATCCGCCGGCCCCCTTTGTGGGGCCACCAGGGTTGCCCTGCTCTTTGTATCAGTTGCAGTTTCAAGTCTCCAATGTTACAGCCCTGCTTTCTGCTTCCTACTGTAAGTTGTCGAAGTCCGCGCGAGGGGGGGGGGCCAAAACCGGCAATGTACCACCCCCAAATCGCGTTGCCTGAATTCCTGGGGGCGTGGGACACTTGAAAATAGTTGAGATTCGCGCCCCCGAAGCCAGAATCCCACATACATTATACAACGCTCGCGTCCCCGAAACCACAAACCGTTGTAAACTACAGTTACTGCACCCCAGAGGCAACAAACCTATGTAAATCACGCCGTACTCGCGTCCCCGAGGCCACGACCCTTCGAAAATTACACCATGCTCGCGTCCCCGAGGCCACGACCCCCCAAAATTATGTAATGATTGCATCCCCGAGACAATAAGCCGTCGCAAAGTACGCAATAGTCGCGTCCCCGAAGCCAAAAACCCTTGCAAATTATACCGTATTCGCATTGCCGAGGCCAAGAGTGCTCCAAGGTGCCCGAAGATGGTTCCAAGACGGCCCAAGAGGGCCCCAAGAGCGCCCCACGAGGCCCCAAGAGCGCTCCAAGAGGCCTCCCGAGAGAGCCCCAAGAGGCCAAAATCGTCGGCTTTACATATGGTTTTGAAGGAGTTCTTTCTCTCGCATTTTCGGCTTTCCAGCGCTCCAAGACGGCACAAGAAACTCACACAAGACTCCCAGAAGACGGCCCAAAACGCCTTCAAGAGGGCCCCGAGACGGCCCAAGAGGGCTCCAAGATGGCCCAAGAAGCGCTCCGAGAAGCCCCGAGAAGCCCCCGGGAGGCCCCAAGAGGCCGCAAGAGGGCCCAAGAGGCCCCATGAGGCGCCCAAGACGCGCCCAAGAGGCCTCCAAGAGGCCCAAAAGATACCCCACGAGGCCCCAAGAGGCCCCCAAGAGGCGCCCAAACCGCCTCCAAGAGGGCCCCCGAGAGGCTTCCCACGACACCCCAACACATATACAAGAGGCCTCATACCCACAACCCAGGCACGGTGGCGGGATGGGCCGAAGGCCACTAGGATCCGCCGCCCCCTGCTTGCAGGGGTGCACGGCGTGCTGGACGTTTCAGAATTTGGTTTTGGTTCTTTTTCCAAAAGAACTTCCCAGTGGGCTCCGGCAGAACCCGCCGGCCACCCGGAATTTCCCCAAACGTGCTCAACGACCGCAAAAAATCCTCCAAGAACGGCCGTTTCGCTCGGGACATCCTCAAAAAATCGCGAAGATGGCCCAAGATGGCCTCCAAGTCCGCCCGAGATGGTCCAAGACGGCCTCCAAAACGGCCCAAGAGAGTCCAAGACGGCCCAAGACGGCCCAAGAGGCCCCCCAGAGGCCTCCCAGACGGCCCAAGAGGCCTCCAAGAGGTCCTCCAGGAGAGTCCGAAGAGGCCAAAATCATTGATTTTCCATTGGTTTTTGAAGGATTTTGGCATTTGCGCCTTTTCGGCTCTCCGACGGCTCAAGACGGCCCAAGAAGCCCCCAAGATCGCCCAAGAGGCCCCCAAGAGAGCCCCCTGATGGCCCAAGTGGCCTCCAAGATGGCCCCTAGAGGGCCCCAAGAGGGCCCAAGAGGCCTCCAACACGCCCAAGATGGCCTCCAAGACGCCCAAGATGGCCTCCAAGACGGCCCTGGAGCGCCCCAAGAGGGTCCCCCGTTGGCCCAGAAAGGCCCCCAAAACGGCTCCCGACGGCGTCAGACGTGCCAGGAACCCACCAAGATGGCCGAAGTTGGCTCGAAGCTGGCCCAAAAGGGCCCAAGAGGCCCCCAAGAGGGCCTCCAGGAAGGCCAAAAGATGCCAAAATCACTGATTTTCCCAAGGTTTTTGATGGATTTGGGCATTTCCCTTTTTTCGGCCTTCCGACGGCCCGAGACGGCCCAAGAGCCCCCAAAGATCGCCGAAAGATCGCCCAAGAGGCCTCCAAGACGGCGACGATGACCATCAAGACGCCCACGTGTTCCCCGAAGGCTTTCCAAACCGATTCGGGGAACACATGGTCCGATGGCTTGGCAGGTCTGGCCTCAACGTTCGGCCACATAGGCGCTTCCACAAAGGCAGGGGGCGGCGGTGATTCGCCGTAGGCGTCTTCGATCCGCCGCCCCCTGCTTGCAGGGGTGCACGGCGTGCTGGATGATTCAGGTTTTGGTTTTGGTTCTTTTTCTAAAAGAACTCCCCAGTGGGCTTCGGCCCGTCCCGCCGGCCACCCGCAAATTGCCCAAAACCCATCTCTCAATGCCCAAAAACGGCCGTTTCGCTCGGGACATCCTCAAAAAATCGCGAAGATGGCCCAAGATGGCCTCCAAGTCCGCCCGAGATGGTCCAAGACGGCCTCCAAAACGGCCCAAGAGAGTCCAAGACGGCCCAAGACGGCCCAAGAGGCCCCCCAGAGGCCTCCCAGACGGCCCAAGAGGCCTCCAAGAGGTCCTCCAGGAGAGTCCGAAGAGGCCAAAATCATTGATTTTCCATTGGTTTTTGAAGGATTTTGGCATTTGCGCCTTTTCGGCTCTCCGACGGCTCAAGACGGCCCAAGAAGCCCCCAAGATCGCCCAAGAGGCCCCCAAGAGAGCCCCATGATGGCCCAAGTGGCCTCCAAGATGGCCCCTAGAGGGCCCCAAGAGGGCCCAAGAGGCCTCCAACACGCCCAAGATGGCCTCCCAGACGCCCAAGATGGCCTCCAAGACGGCCCTGGAGCATTCCAAGCGGGCCCCAAGTCGGCCCATAGAGGCCCCCCAAACGGCTTCCGACGGCTTCAGACGTGCCAGGAACCCACCAAGATGGCCGAAGTTGGCTCGAAGCTGGCCCGAGACGGCCCAAAAAGCCCCAAAGATCGCCCAAAGCTTGCCCAAGAGGCCTCCAAGACGGCCAAGATGACCTTCAAGATGCCCACGTGTTCCCCGAAGGCTTTCCAAACCGATTCGGGGAACACGTGGTCCGATAGCTTGGCAGGTCTGGCCTCAACGTTCGGCCACATAGGCGCTTCCAAAAAGGCAGGGGGCGGCGGTGATTCGCCGTAGGCGTCTTCGATCCGCCGCCCCCTGTGTCTTGCCACAGGGGTGCACGGCGTGCTGGATGATTCAGTTTTGGTTTTGGTTCTTTTTCTAAAAGAACTCCCCAGTGGGCTTCGGCCCGTCCCGCCGGCCACCCGTAAATTTCCCAAAATGCGTCTGTCAATGCCTTTGTTGCCCCAACTTGGCCCAAGATGGCCTCCAAGACGGCCAAGATGGCCCAAGATGGCCTCCAAGATGCCTCCAAGACGGCCAAGATGGCCTCCAAGACGGGTAAGATGGCTCCAAGATGCCTCCAAGACGGCCCAAGATGCCCTCCAAGACGGCCAAGATGGCCCCAAGATGCCTCCAAGATGGCCCAAGAGGCCTCCAAGACGTTCTCCAGGAGAGCCCGAAGAGGCCAAAATCATTGGTTTTCCTTAGGTTTTTGAAGGTTTTTTGCGTTTTCTTCTTTTCGGCCTTCCGACGGCCCAAGAGGCCCCCAAGATCGCCCAAGAGGCCTCCAAGAAGGCCCTATGACGGCCCAAGGGCCCCCCAAGACGGCCCCAAGAGCGCCCCAAGACGGCCCAAGAGGCCTCCAAGACGCCCAACATGGCCTCCAAGACGGCCCTGAAGCGCCCCAAGAGGGCCCCAAGACGGCCCAGAGAGGCCCCCAAGACGGCTCCAGACGGCGTCAGACGGACCAGGAACGCCCTAAGACGGCCAAAGAGACCCCCAGGAAGCCCCCAAAGGCCCCCAAGAGGCCCAAGGAGGCCCCCAAGATGCCTCCAAGAGGCCTCGAAGAGGCCCCCAAGAAGCCCCAACAGACCCCAAGGGTGCCCCAAGAGACTCCTAACAACCCTCATCCTCCTACTCTATTTCTTCCTCTTCCTCTTCCTGTTCATAATCATTCTCTCCCATGTGTTCCCCGAAAGCTTTCCAAACCGACTCGGGGAACTCATGGTCCGATAGCTTGGCCAAGCTCTAGTCCAACTTTCGGCCACATCGGCGTTTCCAAAAAGGCAGGGGGCGGCGGTGATTCGCCGTAGGCGTCTTCGATCCGCCGCCCCCTTCTGCTGCAGCAAAGGGGTGCCCAGCGTGCCGAACCCTATCGGTTTTGGTTTTGGTTCTTTTTCCAAAAGAATTCTCCCAATGGGTTTCGGCCCGTCCCGCCGGGGTCCCGGGATTTTTTCCACGGACCTCACTTCCCCAATGTTCTGCCCAAGACGGCTCCAAGATGGCCTCCAAGATAGCCAAGATGGCCCAAGATGGCCTCCAAGATGGTCCAAGATGGCATCCAATTCCGCCCAAAATAGTCCAAGGCGGCCTCCAAGACGGCCCAAGAGAGTCCAAGAGGGCCCCAGACGGGCGAAGAGGCCCCCCAGAGGCCTCCCAGACGGCCCAAGAGGCCTTTAAGAGGTGCTCCAGGAGGGCCCGAAGAGGCCAAAATCATTGATTTTCCTTAGGTTTTTGAAGGATTTTGGAATGTGCTTCTTCTCGGCATTCCGACGGCTCAAGACGGCCCAAGCGGCCCCCAAGATCAACCAAGAGGCCCCCAAGAGGGCCCCATGACGGCCCAAGTGGGCCCCAAGATGGCCCCAAGAGGGCCCCAAGACGGCCCAGGAGGCCTCCGACACGCCCAAGATGGCCTCCAAGACGCCCAAGATGGCCTCCAAGACGGCCCCGA